CTCCCGCAGGACTGCTCGGGCCCAGAAAGTCCTCTGCTGGAGTCAAACTGTGGTAGAGTGTCAGTTTCTCTCACTCACCTCACCACAAGTCAGTGCACACCTCCCTGCCGTTCGCAGATTGCCATTCTCAGAGCTTCCGCGCGTCTCTCTCCTTGCCGAGCCGCTGTAGAGGCAGCCAGCCGCCGCGCGGCCGGAAACCCAAATCGCGGCTTACAATGGCGCGGTTCCAGCCTCCACACCGAGTCTTTTCTGTTCCTGTTTTAGCACCAGGACTGCATTCCAAGTTGGCTTCTCTCAGCCCAGTTCGTTCCTGAGTCAGCAGAGCATATCTCCACCGACTTATGTCTCCTTAGTCCCCACCATTCCTGGCTTCTGAGCCGAGTCTTTCAGAGAGCCTCCGGTAGTTGCTGTTATCTGTCCGCCATGTTCTCCCGGAAGTCAGAAGTACAGTTTTAAATTCATCTATGAGGTCATGAAGGTATTTTTTATGTCTGCTGATGCTGTATCTGATATTGCATGATTACTGCACTGTTTGTCTTCTGTATTTACCTCTCCTGGGCTTATTTTCCCAGGGTCAGTGGCTGGAGGGTGTTTTTTTCTATCTCTTGTCATGTTTCTGGTTTCTTTCAGACAGGTGTGTCCTGGGGAGTCTCTTTCCAAAGTGTGCTGACTGGGGTTTTGTTGCCCTCCCCAATTTGCTGTTTTCTGAGGTATCTTAAACTCCCTCCCAGGGGCTTTGGATGGTGCGGGGACACTCACCTCAGGCAGCCCAGTCCAGAGTTCAGGGTGCAGGCAGGCAGGCAGACCCAATTCTCTGAAGCTGGTTGATCACGGCAGGAAACCCAAAAGTTCTGGTTCATATTTTGGATTATTGTCTGAAGAGGTGTTTTCAGAAGCAGCTTCTTTGGGCTCCGTGGGGCTCCAGTCACATGGGCCTGGCAGCAGCGAAGACATACTTTCTCACCTGGGGACCTCGGCATTGATCTGATGGTGGGGCCTGCTCAGCACCGGCACCGTGGGCTTGGGTCCTTGCATGAGTGGCGAGTGCAAAGGCTGTGGTTCATCCCAAAGGTCTGGTCCCATGCCTGTGATGCTGCAATGCACCCTCTGGGATGTGGCCCTTATCTGGGGAGGTGGCGGTGACACAATGCTGCTCAGAGATTAAATTCTTACCTTTCCTTGAAGGTGGCCTTAACTAACAGGATTTGCTCAAGCTCTTCTGACTGACTAACTTGGGTACCCCCTGGTGTCCTATCAAAATCAGAGAGGCAGGCAGAATCAGACAGCAGACAGATAGACAGACATCATCTTCCTCCCTTTGAGGTCCAATGTGAGTCATTCAACTGGGGATCCAGGAATCCTCCTCCAGATCTCCAAGGAGACTAAAGGAATCTTGACTTCCCATCAGGACTTAGAGAAATCCTTGCTTCATCTGCAAGGGCTGTGTCTGGTGATCAAAGAGGTCAGCATGGCCAGTCTTCCTGGCCAATGCACCAGATGGAATGGCAATAAGAAACACCAAAATGACACCTGAATTTGGAGGCAGATTTATTTATGTCAGTGGGCACTGATTAGAATCATTCCCATAATATCAGGCCCAGATCTCTCTCTGGTGATCTATGGCTTTTATATGATGCGCAAGCAGGAGGTACAAAGGAGGTGCAAAGGTGGGACAGAACTGCCTGGCAGTTCTGACTAACTAGCAGGGTGAGATCACTGGTTACAAAGGTAGATTAATGATTCAGGCATCCTGCATGTTCATTTATGCGCTTGTGGTTACAGGGGTCAAGAAAGTAATACAAAGCCATGAAACAGTTACAGATCTAGGCAGTTCCCAAAGAATAAATTTTTTTAAAAAAATTTCTCTGTAGAATTGTTCCCTTTCAGCATTTATCTCTTTAACAAACACAGTCCTCTTGGGTACACCATTACTTATTTGGCCAAACTCATGTTTTTCAAGTCTTAGGGCTCTGTCTCTGTTTTTTCCCCAATTTCCACAATAATTCTGACTTAAAGCAGCTGGGTATAGTGATGCAATAGCCTGAATGACAGCCTGCCTTGAAATTTTCTCTGCCAGATTGATTGGTCCATCACCTTCAAATTTAGGATCCCACAAAAATCTCACAATATAGTTGATACATAGGTAGGTTCTTGGCCAGAATACAAGAAAATCCTCATAACAATTCTCAATTACACTATAGTAAATTAGTATATTAATATAGCCACCTATGATTATTCTTCTTTCCCATCTGAATCTTCATGAATTTGGTCTCTCAGGCTACATTCCAGCTGGAATTCAGGTCTTCTGAACTTCCATCGGAATTTCTCTTTAAACTCTACTATAATGTTCTAAACTTTCTCTAGTTTTAGTCTGCAAAATTTTCCATTTTGTTGCAAAAAGCCAGTTTTAAAATCTTTTGTGCCATACAGTCAGTCATAGGGACACCAACTGTCCCATTTTGGATATCAGTTATCTGTATCAGAAAGCTTTCTATTGCTATAACAAAATACCTTAGGCAATAAGATTAAAGGAGGAAAGATTTATATTTCACAGAGTTGCAGATGGTTGCACAGCTCCATCAGTCTGGAACTATAACAGAGCAGAACATCATGGCAGGAAACACATATTGAAACAAAGCTCTTCAGTCATGGCTCTAGAAGGAAAAGACAGAGAAGGGACTGGGTTCCTACTATAAACATTGAAAAGCATAAGCTCAATTACAATTTCCTCCAACTTTAGGTCCCATCTTTCCAGATTTCTACCATCCTCAATAGCATCATCAGGTAGGGACCAATGCTAAAGTGCATGCATTTTAGGGGAACATTTAAGATAAAACAAGGAGAGCCCACAATAACAAAAAAGGCAGACAGAGTCCAACACTTGGTGGAGCTTAAAATCCAGTTGGGATAAATCTGTGCAAACCTTAGTTATTTTCTGTCAAACTGAGATAAAGTTACCATGAGGGTTTTCATAAAGTAATGTGTTAGGTACTTAAGAAATAATGAAAAATTATTATGCCATTAACACTAGTAACTCTATGGTCCATGGTGGGAGAAATTAGAACACAGACATTACCTAGTGAATACAGTATTCCTTGTTTTTCTGCTTAAAAGCCTGACTGTTAAAAACTGTTCACTGATAATTACAGGTGTCCAAAGTTACACACTGAATAGGTGTCAGATTCTGCTCTGAGGGCTTTCCGTGGGTTAATTCAATCCTAGGAAGAATGTTTCATTGACTAGTTTTGCAGCACTAAGAAGCTAAGACACTGTGTTCCCACACAAGGGTTGTTCACAGTTATGTGAGGAAGTTAAATATGAGCCTGTCAATCTACAGAGTACATATTGTTCAGAAGATAGGGCTAAAGACTATTTAACTAACAGTATTTGGTAGATTCATGATTTTAACTTTTGGGTAAAAATCAGATATGTGATGTTGCTTGCTATTTTTAGATAATAAAAAATACTTTCATAAGCAAGATGCACAAAAACTTTTCAGCACAGTAACTCCACAGGGAGAGGTGGACAGTGGCTTTCATCTCTAGCAACATGAACAAGTCACTTACTCTTGCTTTAGCATTATCGGTGATCTTCCTTTGGAAGACAATTGGATAAGCTAAATACAGAGCAAAATTCATCTTGCCTGGACTACTAGAGTTTGCTAAGATGAGAGCTCAGGCATTTGGGGAGGACTTCTTCAAAACTGATACTATTTGATGGACATCAGATATAACTTGCAAATGGGAACATTTCTTTAACTACATATGGTGATTATATCATAACATAGTCAGAAGTTGGTGTATTTGTTTCCTCATCAAAACCTCAACTGCAAAATCTGGACTAATAGAAATACAACTTTGGTATGAACTTTATCAGTTACCAAAATCTAAATTTTCTACTTAATAAATGAAGAAAGTGAGGCTAGGCAATGACTTCCTAATTATTTAACTTTTCTTGATCAAAAACAAACTTAGAACCATGGAGTGAAACTATGGAATTATATGGCTTTCCTTGAATAAAGCCTAAAAGTTAACTGAGATCTACAAATACACAGAATATCATGTGGATGTCTGTTGACAGTATACTTTGTATTCATACCTTTTAAACAAATCCATATGAGATGTTTCCTTAGGACAGTAAAATTTAAATCCATGGTGGTGAATTGAAAACTGGTGGTCAATTTAACATCCAGCTCAGCTGAATCAGTGTGGTGCTGAATGTGTATGGTCCACTTGAGGATAGTTGCCAAGATACAAAAGAGAACTGGAGAGGAACAGTTTAGTATTGTTGGTTCTCCATTATGCTGTTGGTTTTGCTGTTGCCATTGGTTCTCCTGGAGGAGCTTGTTGAGCTTTTCCTGATATGAGGTTGGCTGTTCTCATCATCAGAGGAGCTCAGGACCTTGTTGCTGAGAATGGCTGAAGTTTACTTTGGGGAAGCTCTGTTCTTTACTGCTCCCTGGCCTCAGAGAAGAAGATGTTCAGTCTCCAGCAGAAGCTTGTCACGCTGGCTTCCTCATATGAACTCAGCTGTTGTCATTGTCAGAAGATCTTGGGACCTCATTGTCACTGAGGACGGCTGTGGTGCTTTTAGGGGAGCCTTAGTCCTTTTTTTGAGCATTGTTTCCTAGCTCCAGTGCAAAACCCTCAACCTACTGGCCTTGATCCTTCATCCTACTGGCATAGACTTTCTAGCATCTACTGCTGACCATCAGGCCTTCTCAGCACAGATCCATGAAATAGACTTGCGTGAGTCATTGTCGTGAGTTCTAGACCTCCATTTGGGCTTGTAGGAGGCACTGTCATGGACTCTAGGTCTTCAGCTGAACTCATGTAGGTTATTGCCATGAGATCCAGGGCCTGGATGGATTTCACCCATATATTGGGCATTTGTTTCTATTGATATTGCATAAAGTTTTCTTACTTTTTTGATATTATTTGATGTATTGGAGTAATTGTTTATTTAGTGCCTCTCTTACATTCTTCCTCCATCCTGTACAGAACAGGAGCTGACTGGCTTGGTGGTGTGGGTGACAGGGGCCTCAAGCGGAATTGGTGAGGAGCTGGCTTACCAGTTGAGCAAACTGGGAGCGTCTCTCGTGCTGTCGGCCAGAAGAAAGCATGAACTGGAGAGAGTGAAAAGACAATGCCTGGGTGAGTAACCCTCAATCAGCAGCCTTGCTTCCTAAAAATGAGTCAGTCTCCAACTGAGGTGCAGCTCTGGGAGTCCTAGCGGTAAGATGGGATTTCCCCCGTCAGCACACTCTGGCTGTGGAGTCTCCAAGTATCTGGACCTAAACCTGCTTTTGTTACCTGGTAAGCAGTTTTCCCTCCTTTTGCTTCTTTTCTGCCACCTTTCTACCCTCTCTGCTCCCCTCATTTCACCCCGTCCTCTTCCCTCTCCCCTCTTTCTCCCTATTAACGTATTTCTTGCACTGACACTAATTTCTCAAATGCTCAGGAATTTTTAGCGACCAGGTCACCTAATGTTTGTCTTGGAGTACAGTGTGATCCTGTCCATCACAAATACATTAAACCTATGGAATTTAATTGGGAATAATCCTTACTCATTTTGCCAAAGTGCCGGATATTATTTTCAAAAGGGATGGTAGCAGAATTTTGTTGTAAAAAAGAATTTTTATATCCAGTTATAAGAATTCAACTATGGTTTTGCAAAGGAACCTGATTAATATATTTTATATTCAAATAAATGGTGACTGTATGAATAATTTAGTCGCTTTCAGATTGTAAATAGTGATGTTCACATAGGAACTATCCTTAGGTTTAAAAAATCTTTTGTTTCTTATATGGCACTTAAAACTGAAATTGAAATAATTCTGAGATTAGTGGTAATCATTATTTTGGTTCTCTCGGTCATTCTTTGAAAATTTCCTTTTCCTTTGCGGTTGGCTAAACCAGCTCATTGCCCATCAACCTTGAAGAAGTCTCAGTGCTTTCACGATACTGTGTGCTTGATGGGCCACCATTCCTTCAGACAGCTGTTCTCCAGTGCTGTGACTTGCAAGGCCTGCTCCAGCAGAAATGCATCCTATCAGCTTTTTTTTTTTTTTTAAAGCTGGAAAGCGTGTCATCACTTTCTTTTTGTCTATCACATCCTTGGTGTAAGTCACTGTGCTGCTTTGACTATAGTTGATTTTCACCTTTTCGTCTTTTGCTCGTAAAGCTGCTATCCTTCATATATTCCCTACTCCTGCTTGCTTTTCTAGTTGACATTACTTACGGAATTTCAAACTTAGAGTTCATGAAAACTCGTTTCAGTTTTTCCACTGGTGAACAGCTGACTATAGCCCCACGTATTTTTATAAGTGGAAATTCTGGAAAAGATTGTGCCTGTTTCCTTCCTTTATCTCCTTAAAAACCTTGAGCTTTGTAGAGAGGCTTCTATGTATCCTTGACTATAGAGCTCTGAGCTTTCTATTGATTTAAGTTACATTGTGTAGCCTTTTAATTTGTATAAAATAGCTAAACATTGTAAACATAGAACAAAACAAATGTAACTGTACTTCTAAAGAAATTGCTGTACAATTTTGGCTTTGTTTAGTCTCTTACATAAACCTGCTTTCCTCAGAGTCTGTTCTAAAGTCCTACTGTGTATATTAATGCTGAAGCACAGTATCCAAATGCCTGTGAAGCTACCAGCTTTCTGTCTGCATCATGCACACTCAGCCTCTTCCAGTTCACTGAGAGAACTATCACAGGACCCACACAGACCCAGCCTTGTTGCCAGCTCCTTGTGTAGGGTAGGGGTTAAATGTAATGGGAATAGCCGGGAGTTTAACTGAGCCATGGCATGATGTTCACGGTAATTTTTAAGTGTCTTTCTTTAGAGAATGGCAATATAAATGAAAAAGACATCCTCATTCTTCCCCTGGATCTGACCGACAGAAGTGGCCATGAGGCAGCTACCAAAGCTGTTCTCCAGGAGTTTGGTAAAGTAAGTAATGTTTGCAACTGTAGATTAATGATTTGCTTTGCCTGGTTTTTAAGTAGCTGCAGAAATGATTCCCATGCACACTGCACTTATTCAAAGAGCTTTTGGGAGATAAGTGTCCATGGAATGGCCTCAGAGCTGTGAGACCTCATCATCTCTGGGCCTTATCTTTAAGTAGTAAGTATTTTTTTACACCTTACCAAAAACTGTTTTCTCTATGTAGGACAAAAGAAGGCAAAAGTTCAGTGCTGTTTTTGTTTTTACAACTCTTTTCATGAGGAATTACTTAAAATGGGAAATCTATAGGCAAATTCTGTTTCTTTGTTTTAGTTTATTTTTTTATTGCTGACTTCTCAAAATATACATCGTCCCGCTGATTCTTGAAAGAAACTATAATAACTACGGCGAGGAATTATTTCAGTCCATTCACACAAGACATCGTGAATTCTGATCTTATTTAACTAGATTGACATTCTCATCAACAACGGAGGAAGATCCCACTGTGCTTCAATTGTGAATACCAGCATGGATGTCTTCAAGGAGCTAATGGAAATTAACTACTTAGGGACGGTGTCCTTGACCAAGTGTGTGCTGCCTCACATGATCCAGAGGAAGCAAGGAAAGATTGTGACTGTGATTAGCCTTTTAGGCATTATATCGGGGTGTTTCTCAAGTGGATATTGTGCAAGCAAACATGCTCTTCGGGTAAGGCAGCTGGAATCCAACTGTCCTATAACTAATCTACTCATGTATGGGGTTTATGGTCACCACTGGGCAGTTCATTTAAAGTAAGCATTACATGAGGACATAGAAAAAAAAAAGAAATTTGGCAGAAATCATCTTCAGTAAACAGTAAATAAGAATTAAGTCACAAATGCCTTTAGCTTACCCAACACAGTTGTACAAGCGATTTTACTCTACCATGCACTGCAGCGGATTCTGTGAACATAAAATAAGCTGTGTATTTTGCTCTTAAGAAATATATAGTCAATAAGTCACTTTTTATCTGACTCTGCTTGCTGCCACATCTTGGCAAACATTGTCTACCCAGTTTTCTTCTACATACTTCAGGATGTTCTCCTTCTGCCTTAATTTCTGTGACTTCTTTTACTTTCTCTTTGTATTTCTACTTTGCTTTATGTTGTGTAGTTATGCCTGTCTGTCAAAAATAGGTGTTGACATCAGAGTGATGAGTCCTGAGTGTCGTATACCTGCAGGGGGAAACTTCTCCTCTGATTAGTCTGGTTTCAATGGGAGGAAGAAAGTCTCATCAAGGCAGAAGCTCCGAGTGAGGGTTGATTGATGTAACATAAATTATAAGGTGATAAATACTAGAATTGAGTGAATTTGTAATGTTGGATTAACAGTGCTTATGAAGGGCTGGGAAGGCAACACTGTTGTAGAACACTTACCTAGCATGTGCAAGGCACTGGATTGGGCCTAGCACTGCAAAAAAAGAGAATAAGTGAATGTTACAACATTCCAAGGACAACAGAAAGAAAACTATTAAAGGTGATGCAAGAGTAATAACTATTTCTGCTGAAGGCAAGTTTTAGTAGAATATTCCCCAGTTGGAATAATAAGATGCAATAACTGAACAGTTACTACAGTTCATGAAAATGGAAATTTTGGTTCATTTGGGCATTGTCTCTGCTGAGAAGAGCAGAATGTTGCTGAGAAAGACAAAGCACAATTAAATACTGATGATTTGTTGACTTTGGGGTGTAATTGGGCTTTCAGTGACTTCCAGTGGAGAACTTGGGTAAGTCTTAGGCAGGCTCAAAGAGAGAGCATCTTCCCTCTTGGCTGGCACCAAGTATTTCATAGCCCAGGCAGGAGCCTTTTAATAAAGCAAGAAGAGCTGTGTGACTTGCCCACCTACACACCCTATTTAATCACTGGTCTTTATCTGCTAGATGTGACACATTGAAGGTTTAGTTAGTCATAGTAGTACGTCGACACTCAGACCAGGAGGCTCTTTCTGATTAACACAACTCCTTCTGCCACTCCCAGAAATACACAGAGTGAATGTGTTTATGGTTGAAAAGACTACAGTACATACTACATGAAAAAGGATTTCAGTGAAGACAGGTTTTAAGGTTGGATATATTGGCTTGCACAATGCACTGTTTTGCTAGAGAGGGTCAAACAGTGAAAGACACAGGAATTCTCCAGTATTTCCCCAGCACTGTTTTTGTCCACCTTTCAGTTAGGCAGTAGATCAGGCTCTGATGACAGGAGCTCTTGAAACCCCTGTGCTTGTTAGAGGTCAGCTGTTGAAGGTTGTCGAAACATGTACTACTATGGGGTAACTATTGAGGTTTTTCAGAAGTTAAATAACTTTCTAACAATATAGTTTTAGAACATTTCTTAATTTAGAAAAATGGATGATGGGATTTCTGTTTTCTCCCTGTTCATTTGGAAATGACCAATATCTATGTCTAGAAAGTGTATCTTTTTTTTTAACACAAACATCATTCCATAAGTGATCATATTCTGTTTTAAACTAGCCATGTACTAGTTATCGCCAAATAGATAAATGTTTGCTGAAATTTATAGACTAGTGATATGAACTGAGAACACTGAATTCTTCCTTGGTGACTATTTCAGTGACGTGCTAATCCTGCTTTCCTTTACTCTGTTCCATACCTAGAGCACTTTGAGGAATAAAGAGAATCCAGCCTTCCCACCTTCCCCCCACCAGATTGGCAAATCTGGGCAACACAAACTTCTTTTGCAGTGTAGTGATGAGCGTTAGCATGTGTAAGGTGAATCTGAATAGTCAGGAATAGTTTTCACCTATTCATTTTTTCCCTGTAATAAAAGCCATTAGTAGTAAGAATGACTGGCATCAAGGAGGTGGTCGATTTGTGCTAGTCAATAGATGTGGATGTGTGTTCTAAATTTCCTCTGGTCTTAAAGTTAAAAATGTCTAAGAAGCTTGGCTGACTCCATTACCTGTCCTTTACTCTGTGAATTCAGAACAAATTTTGGTAAATGAGATATGTGTCTGTATTTAAATTGACTTCCTTTTTTATTTTGATTATTGAGTTCTCTTTTTGTGTGTGTTTGCTCTTAGGGATTCGTTAATAGCCTCGACATTGAAATTGGGGAATACCCTGATATTATAATTTCTAATATCTACCCTGGACCTATACACTCAAATATATTGAAGAATGCACTAACTGAGGAAGTCACAAAGGTAAAGCTTTCTAGAATGTAAATAATTTCAACGCTTAGTAGTTATGTCTTCATGGTATACTGCAGAATATCAGGGTTTTATGTCTGATCTGCCTATGAGTTATTCATGAATCTTGAATCATGGCATTATGAAAATTGTAGAAGTTTTCTGTTACTACTTCAGCACCCAGTTTTAATGATGAGTAATGAAATTACTAAGGACCACTTATCGGTGCTCTACCATTTGTGTCTACTGTTAGTTGACAGGTGACAGACATTTTTTTAAATTAAGAAATTCCTTTGAAAACCTGGCATAACAATATATCAAGTACCTGTAAGCAAGTCAGGACATCAAGGAAAACTATTCTGAAGTGAAAGTGAGAAAGAGAGCTCTTGGAACAAAAAACTAATGAGAAACCTAAGCGGAAAAATGGAGTGGTAACTGACAAAAGTACAAACCAGTTCACAACTTCAATACCAACTATTCAGCTAGGGGGGTGGAATCTGACACCGCAAGCACAGGATGCCAGGTATGGAACACAGCACTCCCAGCGTGTGAGTGGGGTGCTTTGCTCTGGTGGTACATGCCATCCCACTGAGAAGAGTTTTGTCTTCCTCCATCTTCAGTCCATCTCCACTTGAACCTTGGCTGGTATCTCAAATTAAAGAACAGGGAGATAGCTGTTCCCAGCATTTGACCTGATCCCAGAAGGGTATGACTGGCAGCGCTGTAACTTCTTCCTTCTGGACATATAACCTCCTTGATAACAGCAGACCGAAATAACACAACTGTTATGGACACTGAAGCTCTGAGGAATATACTGCACAGTTTAGAACACACCTTCCTGACCCAACATCAAAGAAAGTCCATCATAATATTCATACCTAAGCCTACTTGTCACAAACGAAGATGCCTCTAGGGAAACTACACTATAAAGTTTATTTAGAATCAGTCTTTCGACTACATAACTAACTGGTGTCCCACTCTACACTGTCAGAAGAAGGCTTCCCACTAAGAAGTTTCACACATAAAAATAGAATAAATATCTATCCAACAAATGCACACATCTCAAGATAGAAACACAGGAAGTATGAAACACAGGAAGATACTCTCTGATATCTGAATTGAAAACAATAAGGCAGATTAAAACTTGGACAAAAATTCAAAAGAAGGGTTTTAAATTACTAATTAAATAAAGAAGAATAAAAATAAGTAGCTAATGGCTTAAAAATCCTTGAAAGATCAATTTAGTAAGGAGATAGAGATGCAGAGAAAGGATCAAACAGGAATGAAGATGTAAAGCTCAATGTATCACAGGAAAAGAATTCTAACAAACTGTGAGTGAATCAGGAAAGGAACACAAACTAAAACAGGAGGATACAATATCACATTCAAACTGTAAAAAACCAAATTTTTTATACTTTTTTTTTTTATCGGTATCAGGGATTGAACTCACAACCACCTGCTTAAAGGCAGGTGTTTATGCCACTGAGCTAAATCCCCAGCCCCAAAAAACCAAATTTTTTTAAAAAAGAACAGAACGTAGATCTATAGGATGCCATTAAAAGCAGAAATGTATATATACGATCAAAACTGACAAGAGTTTTGAGTCAAAGGTTAAAAGCATAAAAATTCTAAGTAATAGCAGAAATTTTACATTTTTGAAAGAAGTGAACAGCCAGCTACAGAAGGCTTTTGCAACTCCAAATACACACAACTAGGAAACAATTTCTTTACCATGTATCCCAGTAAATCTTCACTACATTCAGAGCAAAGGCCGACTATTTAAAGATACAAGAGAAAAGCACTCCATCACTTATATTAAGCCCATGAAAATATTGATACGTTTCTCAGCAGAAGCTCTTAAGACTAGGAAGCATAGAGTGAGGTTTATCAAATTCTGAAGTTAAGTAACTGCAACCTAGATTATTATATTGAGCAGTTTTGTCAGGTGTAATCAGAGGAGAAATAAAGACCTATCAAGATAAGCATAAGTTAAAGAATTCATGACCACAAAACCAACATTATGTTTGATTGTTTGATCATTTTTATGCCTAAATCTTGTAATCTGAACAAGTACTTTTAAGATAACAATATGCAATATATTAACTAGGTCAATTTCCTTCTATTTTTTGAAATTCTGTTACAATTTTTATACTTTGTTTCATTTTCAAAATAAAAACATTTGTAAAACTAAGCATTATAGAACATATTGAAAAGAATCCCCTAGAAAGAAGCAAGAAAACAATCGTGAAATCTTGAAAAGAACAAGACTCAGTATAGGAGTAGAAAAATTAGAATTAGAAAAGAATCTAATGTGATTAATTTAGGAAACATCACCCCTCTAAAATAAGATGTGACCATACCTTATATAAAACAACCAGAAGCAAGATAAAATCACATTAGTTTTTTAATAACACCAACTGTAAATGTTATTTCCTTTAATTATAAAAATTCAGAGTAGCTGATTGGATGAAAATACAAACCCCACAGTTGTTGCCTGCCAGAAATTCACCATACTAGTTTGGACATGTAGAGACTAAAGGTGAAATTACCAAAAATGGTAATTCAAGGCAGAGGAATCTGAAAGCACACAGGAGCACCTATACTGAGATAAGAGCTTTCTGTTTCTGGGGCAAAATACCAGACATAGACAATTTAAAAGAACAAAAGATTATTTTGTCTCAAGGTTTCAGATATTGAAGTCCATGCATGAATGGCTCCAAGGCAGATTAATATGGAGGGAACCTTCTCATCTCAGGGCTGCTGAAAATCAGAAAACAGAACAAAAGCCAGGCAGAGAGAATGACTAAGGACAGTATATTACATCAGAGTCATACCTGCAGTGATCTTTTCCCTCCAACTATTTCTCACCTCCTAATAGCTCATCCAATCATGAAATTCATCAAATACTTAGTACTCTGATGAGATTGGAACCATGATAGCCACATTCCAAAAGTCATACCCTAAATATTTGAGCCTTTTATGAGAGATGTTTGATGCGAACAACATTTCATCCTGAATGTTACTGTACATCTCATTATTCAAAGTGCATTCAGTCCATCTCCAAGAGTACTGAAAGTCCAAGTCCAAATCTCCTCTCAAATTCAAAGCAAACTCTTATCTGTGATCCACTGCAGAAATTGAAAGCAAATTCTGTACTCTTAGGATACATTGGCACAGGGTTCACATACCTCTCTCAAAAGGGAAGAAGACAGGACTAGAAAGGAAGCACAGAGGAAGCACAGAGATAGAAAGGGGCACATGATGGCAGGATGTGTATTCCAAAGTGCTTTGGTGGTTTTTTTGGGTTGCAGTTCTGTCATTGACTGTCTTTGCTTGTTTCTTGAGCTTTCTGTAGCACATGTTCTCCATTTCCAGCATCTCTAAACCTGGGGTCATATACACAAATTTGGCCTCTCTTCCACAGTGTAATGCACCACATTCTCTGTGTCTCTCATCATGGACTCCAACCCTGATAAATATTGCCTGGCCTCCCACCCCTTCCTTTGAAATTCTAAGTGGAAACTTCCAAAATCTCATAACTCTTGAATTCTGCATGCATATAAAACCAGCATGATGTGGATGATTCCAAGGTCTCCCATCAGTGTGAGAAAGAGTAAATACTCCTTTCACAACAGGCACATTGGCCTCTGTTATGGATTAAATATTTCATTCCCCCTCTCCCAGGCCTCATGTAGTATGGATGCAGTTGAATCTGGCGTTTGTGATTAGTTTGTTGCCTAGCACTAGCATTGATAATGTGAGCGTTCTACTCACCCCGGGGTGGAGCAATGGTTTCATGTAAAGGCAGGAAAAAGGCATGTCTTGCTCTTTTGTTTTTACTTTTGCTGTTTGTAGCAGCCATAAGATGCCACCTGAATGATTGGGTGACTGGAACAGTTTACGCTGCTCTGTAGAGGAAATTCTGGTCAGATCTCGGGAGACCAGAAGGTGTATAAAAAGCCTGCCAATGAAGACCAGTCTTGGTTGGAAAGAAGGATCACATTGGTTATTGAGTCCCACATGATGTGTGTTATGGCTTGACAAAAAGTTTGTCTGCATTTTGCTTGTGCCCAGAGACTTTGCCTAAGTCTGAGATTAAGAGTGATGGGCTGATTAATCTGGCAAAGGAAATTTCAAGGCAGTTGAAAATGGAGTTGGTGGCATGGTTGTTGTTGGAGGTTTCAGCCAGATATATGTTGCAAAACAGGAGCAAAGAGCCCAGCAGGATAATTTAAAACATTGTGAGTTTGGCCAAAAGAAAAACTCCAGTAAAGCTGTGGACCATAAAGACAGAGCCAAAACTTTTATTGCTGAGAAGGAACAGAGAAATAAAAGAGATGGCCTGGGGCCATCCTGGGCAGCAAGTCTTCACCATTTGCAGCCTCAAACTGTCAAAAGTGAAAGACTTCACTTAGAGGAGTTGCAGAGTGCCTCATTCCAGAGTAGTGACAAAATGGTGGCAACCACATCATATTCCAGACTGGTGGCAGGAGAGAGAAGGTTTTCCTCACATTCAGGTTCAGAGAGCTCAGTGACCCAGGCAGTCAACTCCTGCAGCCAAGAGAGAGAAAAGCCTGGCTACTGCTATGGCTGGCAGCAGATCTTGGCAGCATCCACATGGTACTGGTTTTAGGTGCAAGGAAATGCACAAGTTCTCAGGGTAAGCCAGCTTCCACCCCAATTGCAAAAGGCCTGGGAGGGCAAACAGTGTGCCCTTGAGAGGGCAATATGTAAAGATGTAAGGGTGAAGCCAAAGGTGCACTGGAGATCCAGAAGTTTGAAAAATCCAGGAACTTGGATAATCCAAGGAAAGTTTGCAAAAGCTGAGCAGAGGGGCCTTAACAGGGAAGCTGCAGGAGCTGAAATCCTGGAAGCTCTGTGGAGTGGAATCACCCAAGCTTTTTGGCACTTACAGCCAGATTACTTCAGATGTAGAGCATGGACCTCGAGGGCTTAATGTTTGCCCTGCTGGATTTTAGACTTGTTTTGGTTCTAATATTTGGTATTGCCCTGTT